AGTGTTAAAAGAAAAAGTAATTTGCCATTGGAACCATAAGAAGATGGGATTTTTCACTTCCAGGGTTGTAGACAGAGCCTAAAAATCCCCACTTGAATTAAACTGCAGTGGCTCTTCAAGGCTGGTGTCATGACCTTGGACTTGGATGTGTCAGTGGGTATAGAAGGGAGTACTATATCCTGTGGTCTCTCCAGCCCCAGTTCCAGTCCCTCTAGCACTTTAAAATAACAGAGGTAAATTTGTCTCCATTCCTGATCCTGTCCTGTGAGCAGCAGTCTGGGTGGCATAAGACCCTTGGAAAGCCTTAAGACTGCTGCCTACTGGATGGCAACCTGATAGGACTATGCTTTTAGGTACTGATAAACATGTACCTATTCACTGAACTAAGTAGCAAACAGGATACGGGAACTACAGACATATTGTTCCCAAATCATCTGTTTTTGAATTTGTGAATATCATTGTAGTGAGACATAACAGTAGAAGCAGGTTTTTAGAATCTTGGGTCCATTTTTATTTATACATTAAGCTGTCCAAAATACAACAGTCAATGCCATGGGATCAAGCTGTGGCAAAAGTGGATGCAGTAGACAGAGTAATGAAATAGAAGATGAGAATACATCTTTGTGAATTATCCTACTGTGGGTGCCTATGACATTATGGCAAAAATTTAAGAAATAAAATGCAGATTAAAAAAGAAAGAAACCTAAACAGAGGTTTAGCCTTTTAAAATTTGTTTAACTCTGCTGCTCCGTATTTTGCTCTTGGTCCCTTTTTAACTAGTGATGGGCTTTTTAATCTTCCTTTACTTGAGTGTTACATTGTTTTTATTGTATTAATAATGTAGAACAAGCAATAAATATAAGCATTATTATAGTTGTTATATTGATTGGTTATTTATTTCAATTATTATTTCCCCTTATTTAAAAATAATCTACATGTAACTGCTGAGATGATCTAGTGATTGAAGGTAAGGTTGTCATCAATATGTCTAACCAATTGGATTTTCATATAATCCAGTAGGGACAGTGGTACTCCTAAAACAGTACCTTGATGTGAAAATGCAATGCATAAGACCCAAACCATAACCCTAAACTGAAGTAGAATCTCGATAACACAGTGATTCAGTTGGTTCATTTGGCCAGTTTAATTATGTTCAATGGGTTGTGTGTGGTCCTTCTGAAATAAGTTTACAGTCTGGGGTGCTCATTGATAGATCTGTTATTGGAGGTGCAGGTTGTCTCTGTGGTATAGAATACCTCCTACCAGTTAGAAAACTGTACCTGTATGGACAATGACTGGCTTAAACTAGTTACATCCTGCTAATTTCCCAATTAGAATATTGTAACATGTTATACATGGGACTGTCATTGAAGCAGCCTATAAATTGCCATTGGGCTGTGAACTGGTACTGAGAGTTATGATCACATTGTATTGATGCCTCGCCAGCTGTACTATCTCTCATTCCTTTCCATGTTCAGTTGAAATCTTTCATAAAATGAATCCAGGCTATCTGAATGGATGCTAAAATTTTCAGCCAAGGCCCTTCTTCAGGCCCCACAGCCAACTAGGGTTCAGTGGGTAGGCCCAGGGCCTGGGTGATGGCATCCTAGCTATTGAATGGTTTCCTATAATGCCACTTCTGCATTAAGCAAAGATTTTGTTTTAATTTTTTCCAAGCTTTTGAATTCTATATGTTGTATTTATTTATTTGTAATGGTTTTAATAAAGGACTCGGGAGTTCTACTGAAGGCTGAGACATAAATCAAAATCAATTGTTTTTGTTAGCTGCCTTTGTCATGTTATATGGAAAAGAGTATACATTTCACAAATAACTAGTCATTATCTCTTGAAGAAGCCTAATAACATATTTCATTAGCATACTTTTATGTCTGACTGTACTATAGCTGTAGTCCAAAACTGTAAGACCTATCTGCCAACGCATACATAAATTTTTGAAAACATTATGGCAGCAATAATTTTAAGGGTAGTTTATACTACATGAACAGATGCTTACAGATCATTTTTGGCACAGAATGTAATACTTAGAAAAATTTCTCTAAATACAGAAAGAGTATTTAATCAATAGAAAAACACAAAATTTACCATGATTTCAGTGGATTTCAAAGGAAAAATGGAACTAATCTCAAAAACCCACATCACCTTTAAGGATTGTTAACAAGTAGCCAGAATGAGAGGTAGCAGACTTTGCTCCAAAAAGATTTTGTAAATGAATTGAAACAGGGTTTTTTTAAACAGCACTGGCATGGATCCCAATGTTGCGGGTGCAATGCCTCCTGATATTCCATGGGTTTCAATAGAACATCTGTGGAACGTTGGCACTTCTACAATGTACAACAATTTGAAAAAGCAGGCAAGATGAAATAGTGTTTCATTTTCTTCCGTCTGCCAGCAGTAAGGTTAAAGAAAAGTATTCAAAATATTTTATTACAGTATTCTGAAACACCAAATCACTTCAGGAAAAGTAATCAAGGACTATATTTTCAATATTAATTCTTCCAGCTTCTGAATGGAAAATCATTTTTCCATTGCAGGTAAGAATTAAAAATAATCTGCATCAATATTCCCATAATATCCCTATATTCAAGTTTTTCATAAACATGGGAACTACCATGAAAATGAAGTCAACCTGTTATGCTTAACAAAAAAGAAGAAACAAGTTTGCTTCTAATACAATGAAGAGCACAGGAGACTGTATCCTGCCAACAATAGAATATTGCCTCAACTATTTCAGCTTGTTCTGTTCTATCCCTATGGACTACTTCACACTATTACAAAATGGTTAAAAATCATGGTGGCTTGTTAGCCACCCTACAAATGAAAGCTGTGTACCAGTCTACAATTCGAAAACAGGCCATGGACTCTGGATAGTTAATCATGCAGAGTTAGCTCATCCAATCACCCTCACTGAGTTAGAATGCCACAACAAGCAACACTAGTGAGGATAACTGTAAATCCAGCTAACATGCACAGCTAATCCAGCTAATTAACTACCTTGTGATAATGTGTTTCAGGTCTTTGCCACATTCTATTTTTTTAAGTATAGGGCAGATTATTTTTGTCCCTATATACCTTTGTAGCTCCCCCTTTCTTATATATTGCTAATTTAATCATTAATTCTTGCTACCATCTCATGTTTTTAATATCAGGCTTATTATATTAATTATCATATATGTTTCACTATATTTTATAAGGATGTTTAATATGTTTTGCTCTCTCTCATCTCATCTTATCTCATTCTCACCTTATTTTAATTCATTGATTCTATTTTTATTATTTTATTGGTTTTATTGCTAACTGTAGATTTTGAATTGCTGTATTGTGTTGCACATGTTGTAAGACACTCAGAAACCCTGACTGGATAATGGAGCAGCAAATAAATAAATAAATGTGATCAAATCCCCCATACCCCACCATATGCATGAACGACAAAAACTAATGGTAGTCAGGGGGGTAATCAACAACTTGGAAACAGGAAATTTGAGAGTGTGCCTTTTCCTTTACCAACTTGCTCAGTTGCTAAGGTCACTGGAAAATATTCTGAGCATTCTACACAGACCAGTGACTCAACTAGAATTCAGCAGGAAAAGATACTTTAGTGTAATAGTTCCAGTTCTATGGAATCTCCTATCTATGGAGGTCAGGCAGGCATGACAGTGTGCTGTTTATGGTGACTGCTTAAGGAGTAACTGGTCCAGGCAGCTTTCTTACTGACCAGCCACATTTATTTACTGTTTTTATTATTTTATCTGTTTTAGCTTTTTAATGGCTCACCATTCTGGAATCTGCCTAGACATGAATATGCCGATAAAGAAATGAATCAACAAACATTAAAGCCACACAGGAAATAATCTGCTTCTGAATATTCCAAATTGTGCAGGACTGCAGAAGACTTTGTTCATCCAGGCAGCCCAAATCTTTGATTTTGTGCCAACTGACCATTACTTAGTTCAGGCTATAGAAGGTCAGAATTCTGTGCAGATTGTATTTCCGTAGTTTGCTATCTTTAGTGCTTCCCGCACTGTTACTTCTGTATGATTTCCTATCAGAACTTTCCATTACATGTCTCCATGGGAACCCTTCTTTAATAATTCTTATTTTACATCATGCCTTCTATCAGCAGAAAGGCAGACGTTACTTACCTGTAGCTGTTGTTCATTGAATGATCATCATCTATGCATTCACACATTTGGGCTCTGTGCCTCCTTGGAGCCTGTTGCCCATTCACTAAGAGCATTTTGGCAGGAACCTCTCCCCGACCCAAGCATCCATATAAAAGTAAGGCACTCCCACCATTTCCCTCAGTCCCACATCAGACTTGGTGGCCTTGGGACTGAAGAAAGATCAGTAATACCAACCTCAGTACAGTAAAGGGCAGAACACAAACACATGAAGACAGACTTTTGAATTATTCATGACACCTAATGGGTGCAGCCACAGAGCCCTTATGTATGATGGACAGAGACCGCAAAGAAGATGACAAATTTTACATGCAGAGCAGTTCCTTTGGACATAACCTGCATTTTGTGAGTGAATGGGTAGGCATGACATATTAATGCCACTATGGCTGTCAAAAATGCAATAGCCAGAGTAATAATATGGATCAGTCAGTCCGATCATATAACACTAATTCTGGCCTGCTTGCTTATGTTTCTGAGCCCATTCAAGGTGCTGGTTTTAACCTATAAAGCCTGTCATAGCTTGGAACCAGGCTACCTGACAGACTGCCTTTCCCAGCCTTCATCTACCCAGGCACTATGATCAAGTACTGATGGCTTATATGAGCACACTCATTGATTCTGCAGGAAAGTCAAACCATTCTTTTGAAATCTTTCAACAAGAACTTTCCAATGCAAAGAGAAACAAAATCCAAATAAGGTTCTTATCTCACTACTGCAATAGCACTACTATTAAGCAAAATGTGAAATAATTAACAACTAAGAAAGAAGAGTACATTTAATAATTTACTATTAAGAACTTACCATTATTTCTCTTTGTTCTTCTAAACTTTTCAGAAAGTTAGAAAATTCACGGAGAGCTGCATCTGTAACAGGAATAAACACCGTCACTTGAATACTACAAGAAAAGGAAGGAAGATTAAAACTCTGTGTTGCATGTTCATTGCCAATACGCTGACATACCTATACTTCTTTCATCATCCGTTTCTGCATCACCAATAAACTCAAACTTAAAGTCCCTCAGTGAGCAGGCAAACTTTCTTTGAGCAGCTGAAAGATCTAAAAGGAATTTAAAAAACAAAACAGTAAGAATTTATAAGGAGCACTGAGGTTTAGGATTAAATCATTTTAAGGTACAATCCGAAGTGCAGACAGAAAAATAGCTTACAACTCCCAGGATTATACCCTTAAAAATACCACTGCTTTGAAGTTTGTAAACCTTGTCATAAATGGAGCCCAAGTTCAAATTGTAATACCAACTCTTGTTATGTTCTTTGATAATTCAAAAAGAATGTTACAACAAAAAGCTTCACTTTAAAATTCATTTTAAATAGTAACTAAACTGTTGTAGTTATCTGGCTCAATTATATTAAACTGAGCTTGGCTGTATTATTGAACTGAGCACCATTTCCCACAGAGGTACTTTTCTGGCTCAAAATGTATATATGCATTTACTATACCAAGGATCAAATACCAGCTGCTCTGCATGCATGCATAAAGAAGTTCTTGATTGTTTAGTTTTAAAGCATTCTTATTTCCAATGAGGTTACACAAAATTACATTTTTAATATTTTTGGTGAAGGTACATATGCTTAATATGTGTGTGACCTGTAGGAGTGGAGCTGTCCTCACTACTCCAGGGCCAGCTCACCATCGCAAAATTAAATAACATGTCTATGGTACCTATGAATATACAGTCTGATCATCATAATCAAGGTGGTCTGCCCTCATTTTGCAAAATAAAAGATCTTGCATTCTTTGCTCTGTTTGTTTCATCTTTCCCTTATGAGTATGTTGTTTCAAAGTACTTTGCAACTGCGGAATCAACTGAAGAGACCCAATATTCCAATGCAGTTCCCAAAGATATGCCTAAATATAAAAACATAAAACCTTAATATTGTATACACAGAAAATGTCCTCTTAGAATAATGGAGATGAGATATATTCACCTGAAAATGGCAAAAGATGTAATACCAAGGGAAAGGTTAGTCCAGAGGCTATGGCTGAAATTAAGATACTTTAGAGTTAGGCAGGTTTAAAACTGTCTTAAAGTTAGATAAGGAGTTACCACCTCCCTATTTAAATATGGTTGCTAAAATTATCAAGGAGAAGTTACTTATGAACAAAATTATGAGGGGGAAGTTACTTATGAAGTCATTAAAAAGTCCTGGCTTTATCCATCCATGTACTTTTTATAAAAGATTTAAAACTACAAGAACTGAATTTGCTGTGAATGTAAGCACTTCAACAAAAAGTATAAAATTATTTTCAGTGAAATACAAGATTCCAAAGAGTCTGCCATGCCATTATATTCCTCAGTAAATGTTCAGATTCCATGCTGCCATAGCAATTACACCCATACAGATTTCTCACCCACTTAAAACAATTGACGTTTATCATAATTGGGCTCATGAATTCCCCACCCAAACATTCCAGAGTCATCAAAATACAGATTCTGCAATGCAAACATTGTAAACACATTTTAGCTTGCATACACACTTGAAGAATTCCCTTACTGCAGTATTTTTAATGGGAAAAAGCAAGAGGGAGAGCCTATGACAGTTTTCAGTAGCAAGCCCAAATTTCTTTCAAAAAAGAGAAAAATAATATAGATCTTTTCTCATTGCTGTTCATTTAACAAGGCAAGAAGGCAGCAATAGTAAGAGATGCTGAGTCCTATAAGCTACTGCTATGATCTAAAGTAACCAACAGAAATATTTCTATAGAATATTCAGAGCCTAAAAACATTGGAGTTGTTAAAAAGCTTCCCATGTAACATTAAATTTAAGATTTGATTTAATATCTCACCCTTAAATTCACTAGAATTTCCAAACTGGCTTACAAGTTAAAATATAAAATCCAATACCTGTTCATATCACTTTAAAAATAGCAAAGAACATTATCAATAAACAGTAAAACAGGACCAGGAAACCCTCTTAGGAGGTAATTCCACAAATGGAGCACATATTATATGCACGATCACCCTTCCCCTGGTAGCTACTTGCTTTATTTGTAGAATGCAGAGACATCTTTCCTAGGCTGTCATCAATTGCTCTTAATGCTCAAGCAGGAAATGTGGAGACATGTAGTTGAGACCAGGCACTTAAGCCCCGTCCATGCTTGGACAAACAGCATATGACAAAAATGTGGCTATTGTTTTTCCATGATCTTTTTTTTTTAATGTCAAATTCAAATGAAACCTGTTCAGGAAGGATTTTCAAGGGTGCTTCAGGCTGCAGACCAAAATGGGAGGCTGGCAACTGGGGGGGAGGGCCTTTTCTGTGGTGGCCCTACATGTTTGGAACAACCTTCCTGCCATGGCCCTCCTGGTAACAAATCTGCCATCTTATCAGCACCGAGTTCTTTGTGGAAGCCTTTAAAGATCTCCTTGGATATCTAGGGGTCTGATGGGTTTATCCAGGTGCCTTTTTATTTCCTTGTCTGGGTTTTTTTCATTGTAATTAATGTATTTTAATGCTATTTTAATGAATGTTTAAATGTTTTAAATGCTGTTGTGTTGTATTTTGTTGTCATTATATCATGTTGTGAACTGCCCAGAGAGCTTTGCTGATGGGTGGTATAGAAATTAATAAAAAAAAAAAAAATTTGAGCCCAAGCTTTCTGGGTCTAGAAATGGACTAATAGTAATTCCTCTTACTAGCATAGTATGTGCTAATCTACCCATTCAACAGACACAGAGCCAAATTTTGTACTAACTGAATTTATGAACCAACTTTCATATGAAAGTTTAATTTTATGAACCATGAAATAGCCCAACAAAAGTAGCCACATTTTGCAGTAATCTAATCTTAAGGTTACTAGTGTATAATTAACTGAGTTCTCCTGGTCAAAAAGAGAAACAACAGATGAATCAGCCAAAACTGATAAATGTGGTCCTAACCACAAAGCCTACTTGTGCCATGAATTATACTGAGCGTACATCCTCAAACTGTGTGTCTTTTCTGCAAGAGGCATGCAATTCTGCCTAAAACAGGAAAGCACCAGTATTCAGGACCTGCAAGTTACCTATCTACAATTTTGTGTTTTCCCTGCGGAGTTTCAATTCATTAACTTTCAATCCAATCTGTTACGGAAGTCAGACAGTGACTCAGAATGCCTTACTCACCACTGAAAACAGATGAAAATGAGGAATAGCTGGCTATCATCAGCATACTGCTAGCACCACGCTGCAGATTTAATGATCTCCTCAGCTACTTTCTCCACCTGCTATCAAAATCAGACAGAGCAGAGCTACCAAAACACAGTGCTCCCAAATCCAAAATGATTCAAGTCTATGTATGTGGTATCAAAAGCTAGCAAGAGAAATAAGTTGATTAACAAGATCAAGTTTGCCCTAACAATCTCTACTACTGCTTAGTAAGAAGTCATGAATCAGAACAAAAGTGAAGGAGATAGCACCTCACTGTCAGCCCCTTAGTTTCAACAATATATTTAACACATCACTGAGGGCTACAATGAAAGGAAATTTTATTAAATTAAGTGTCATGGGGTGAAAGGTATATCCTCAGCTATACCAAGTGACAATGTTGATTTAACTTGGATATTGGTGGCTTGTTTTCTTTAAAAGTGTATTTATTAAGCTGTATTCTATAAAGGTGTTAAAAAATTCAAAATTAAACAAATGCAGATGCCTCCCCTTTATTCTAACCACATTTTATCCACATATCAATCATTATGACAGCACTGGCATCAAACAGAGTTTGTGTTGACTACAATTAAATCTCAGAAAATGTAGGTAACATTCTTCTCAAACATGCTAAACTCAATCCCATCTCCTGAAGGAAACCAGACAAATACCTCTTCCTGTTGCAGTTTGTCTAACAGTTGACCAAACTTCTGCATAAATAGGTAATTTTCAAAGTCCACGTTTAAATATCCTTATTGGAAATGGAAGACAAAATTTAGGTTGGATGTACAAGATCTAATTTGTTTAGATCCCGTTGTTTTAGCTACACGAATGAATTTGCTACCTGTATCAATTTATTATTATTATTATTATTATTATTATTATTATTATTATTAGAACATTTCTATGCCGCCCCTTGCCGAAGCCTCGGGGCGGCTTACAACACAATAAAGTACAATAAAATACAAAAATAACAATATAAAATTAAAATTAACAATATATAATAAATAAAACATATAAAATATAAAATTTAATCAACCTGAAGGTAACTGGGTTACTTTATAACTGAACATCTTATTAAGGAAAAACAGGACTTAAGCTTCCACTCACAACAACAGTATAAAACCTATTATTTTAATGACACAGGCAGAAGATAAAGACATAATTATACTAGTTTATGAATTACACTTCATGACAAGATGAACCTACTGTTTGTTCCATTAGAATTTATAAAGCCCAGTGAGAGTTGTGAAAACAAGTACATATTACTGAATGTCAACCTCCTCATAGTGACAGTAGACCATACAATAATGTTTCTATTTCCTTAAAAACCCTATGTAAAGGACCCTGAGACATATACGAACCACAAAATAATTGATGGAGACAGTGAGCAGGTTCACATGACAGGATAAGGAATAGGGATTTTTTTTAATGCAAGTTGGTCTGTCATGTCATCCAATCATGTTATGGCATTTCAGCATGGTACGTTTGGTTTTGCAAAATTATGAACAACATCAATGGTCTGTTCAGTACCACAACTGTTTGTTGTAAAGTTCAAATTAGAAAACACAACTAGTTGTAGTAACAAGGGCAGAACCATAGAGCCACTTGGCAAGAGCAGCCCATTGTCAATTTTGCCATGCAGTGAACTAGACAGCACCACTGACAGCTGCCAATCTGTGCAACTGTAAAAAGCTCCCTTGCTTCTTTCACACCCTACCCTAAAGATCCTTGAGGCAGGTACAAACAATCAGCTGATCAGTGCTAGGAAAAGTACAGCACTGCTCAGCTGATTCCCCTGTTGAAGCTTCCATGTGATCAGGAGCAGCAGAAATGCACTTGAGAATAGAGTTCTGTCAGGGACTTTGCACCACAGCAGATTTGCCATGTGCCACCCCTATTGCTCTAAATC